AGGCGTTCTACCAGTACATCTACACACGTACTTTCGTGACGTCGCTGAGCGAGGACTGTCGCCGGGGCCATCAACCTGCCGTCGTCCCATGCGACTCCGCCGCTTCGTACCAAGCAATCGTGCGTAATGGAGTATCGGACATTCTGGTTGGTTAATAATCGGAGTATAGTCAGGATGTGATTGGATGAAGGTATTGTAACGTGATTGGATTGGATGAAAATTGATTTCCCATCTGTGTTACGTAGGTATCGGAACAATCGCTTCTTGGTCTGAAGTGTTGGGATTATATACAAAATCCAAGTCAAAATCTCTTGAAACCGACAATTCCACCCATCAAGGAACAAGGTCGGATGAAGCCACGGCAGCCGCAGCACCAATCCTCCATGGAGAGCGGCAACTCGGCCACCCCACACGCCACGGAGTACGCCACGATGCAGGAGACGTCAACTCCCGTGTTGGCGTCGCCTCCTCCGCGCGATACCACCCGCCAGGGCAAGAGCGCGCGACTCGGATGCCTCCAGTTTATCGACTCGAGGCAATGGCACTACTTCTTCATGCTTCTTCTGTTTATGGACTTCTTCGGCAACTGTGTCGCTGTGAGCTTCACTTCGACAGAGAACTTCTACAAGTACGGTCCCAAGACCCGCATCGCATCCCTCGGATTCTGTGGAGTCTACGTCGTCGACATGTTCCTCCGCCTCATCTCCCTCCGCACCGGTCTCTTCCGCAATGCCGCGAGTGTCGGTGACTTGATGGCGTTGGTGATTCTCCTCGTCGCGCTCGGTGGACGGTGCGTGGGCTTTCTCGCTTTCGTTGGACCTCATGCTTCGTGTGTAGCATTTGGAAGGCGGACGACGTGAACAAAGTCAAGATCACGATGGGTGGATGGACCAATAGTTACAAAATCGCCCACGAGTACAACTCGAACCAAATCGAGATGTATATCGATGCCGTGTACTGCTTCTTCGTCGCCGTGCGTATCGTCCTCAAGCCCCGCGCGCGCACGTTCTCAAAGAAGCTGCACAAGCACGCGAACCACGACCACTTACGTATCTCGATGGCGAGTCTTCGGTCGTCCATTCGCCGCATCCCTGGCATCACGGCGGTTCGATTCCTTTGAATCCTTTGTGTGCCTGGACTCATCGAGCACTCCGTGCAGGCTGCAGTCGAAGTCATGGAAACCGACTTGGCCATCATCTGTGGCCGCAACGAAGGCGACATGAGTCGCGGCGAACTCATGCAATTCTTGCAAAAGGCGCTGCTGTACCGTCCAAAGGAGCTGAGCGCGAATGCGTTCCTGGCTCACTTGCGCGACATCGACGCCATGGCGGCGCATGCTGTCTACGGCGCATACGACGTAGTCAAGTCCACGTTTCGGCACTGGTACGAGAAGCAGCTTCCTTGGGTCAGCAGACATGACGCCTGCGCGTGTGTAGGTCCAACCAGCGGGTGGACCTGGCGCTGACGACGCTCGTCGTGATTGTTTTTGCGTGCATTACCCCCGTCTTGGCATTTTTCCTCAAGATCGTGACTGACGAAGCTTTTCCAAAATACGTGTACTCGACCGAAAACTTTGATTTTGTCAGTACGTCGCGAAAAATTCGCCTCCGTGCTGTCGCGTTGGCCCTGTTGAAAACTTTTATTCGGTCGTGATGATTCCAAGTGGTGCATTTGTTGAAATGGCGAGCCGGTCCCTCCTGTCCGGGAAGCAATATCGATGGGATGGTTGTGGCTCTAGCTGTGGAAACGACAAATTGGCTGGACACAGTTTGATGTTGTGGATGGCGGCGTGTGGTTTGTTTGCATCCACCTGTACTTATATATCCGTTGCCTAGATGGCCAGACAAAACTCATGGGGATTTTCGTGCGACCGTCGTACAAGAACGAAACACCGAACGAGAACAACACGATCGTGGAGCTTCCATTCACGGCGCAGAACTCGTTGATCCTAGGAATTGTCGGGTTGGTGGGCATTTCGATTCCATTTATCCTCTGCGACTACGCGATGGGTATGTCGATGGCACCTCCGTCGTGGGTTGTTTGAAAGCTTGACTTTGGCACGACCAGGGTATTTTCAATCGAAAATGATTGCAAATGCAACGCAGCGCCTTCAAAACAGCTTGCTTCGTATTTTGCTCAACAAGCCGACCAAATTTTTTCAAGAACGCACGGACGGTGACCTGAACAATTTATTTCAGTCGGACATTTCTCGCGTCAACGCCATGTGGCAAGCTGTGTTTTGGGTACGATGTCCCTTACTACATAGCCCTTGGACGTTGCTGCCTGACGGTTTTGTGGAATAGAATTTGATGCAGCCGATCGTGGCTATTGTGATCGGGTTTGGTTACCTCTTGTACTTTGACCCGATCATCGGGATCATGTCGTTTTCGTTTTCTGCTATCATTGCGACGTCGGGACCGCAAGGACTCGCTGGGGACAAGTCTCAAGATTTTGGGAAGAAGAGCGCGTACGTGTCGGCCGAGTTCCAAAATGCCATTGCGTGCCAAAAGGTAGTTGCAACCGCAATCGACGGTTTGAATTTTAAGTTCGTTTTGCTGAAACTTCCTCTGACACGTTGGCGACTTGGCTAACAGTCCATCGATTGATTCTTTTGCAAAATAGGTCGTCCGTGCATACGAAATTCAAGCTCCGCTCTTGGCTCGCTTTGCCACGTCGATTCGCACGCTCAAATTTGCCCAATTTGCCAAAGACTTTTGGAGTGGCATCGTCCAAATTTACATTGAAAGCGCCATGTTTATCTTTGTGTCGGTAATGACGGCATGCCTCGCCATAAAGGTAGGCGAGTCGTCGTCGTCCTTACCACCGCATGGTTTGATTCCGCAGCGTAGGTGTACTTTGGCAATATCACGGCGGGCGATTTCTTTGCCAGTGTGACTATGTTGAGCCGCGTCTCCACTCCCGTGACAGTCCTCGGCGGGTTTATGCGAGTCGCAATTTCAAATGCGAGCAGTTTGCAGCGCTTGGACGCGATTGTGATGGAGGTCAGTTGGTTCCTGAATGATTTGAAATCCAGATGTTGTGCTGCATGTCGGCAAGTGTGCTTGCCGCTGCATGTCGATGCTTGAAGCGCCATGGCGCATCTGGTGTCATGCCCTAATTGAGAATTTTCCGAGCAGCGTGACGACGAGTACCAGAAGGAAATGAAAAAAGATTGTGCCAAGCCCACGTTACCGCGCATGTCCAAATCGTTGGCTCTTTCCCACGTCAATTTTTCGTACGTTCCAGGCGAAAAAATGAACCTGAGCGACATCACGACCGTGATCAAGCAGGTACGCGACCCGTGCTGTTCAAATACAAACATGAAATTTGGTCTGCTTTTTGCAGGGCGAATACGTGTGTGTGGTCGGGCCGAGTGGATGCGGCAAAAGCACTTTGCTGTCTTGTTTGATGCAATTCCAATCGATTTCGTCGGGATCGATTGCCGTCGACGGCCTCGACACGCAGCTGTACTCGAAGGCGAGCTTTGCCGATCAAACCGCGGTCGTGTTCCAAGACGGCGGCATCTTGAACGGCACGATCATGGAAAATATCCTGTACGACCATCCGCCACACAACAAAACTTGTTCAGTTTTGCGTCGTGAAATGGGGTCGGAGTGGTCTGTTTCGTGCAGTGTCCCATGAAAAGTGCTCGATGGTTGTGGGAAGGACTGAGTAGAACTCGTGTGTGTGGAACCAAGTCATGGACTGGTGGTGGTGGCTTTGTCGGTAGGTATGGCCATCCTCGCGCCACCGAGCAGGATTGCATGGATGCAGCAAAGGCCGCCGAGTGCGACGCGTTCATCCATCAGCTCAAGGACGGGTATCAAACCATCATTGGCCAGCATGGCACGACCAACTTGAGTGGCGGGCAAGTCCAGCGCATCTGTCTGGCTCGTGCACTGGTCCGCAAGCCAAGGTTTCGTTGTCAGCATCCTCCTCGACGGTCCTCTCACGTATCTCTCTCGCAGTTTGCTGCTGTTGGACGAAGCAACGAGTGCGCTCGATCCTGAAACAGAAGCCAACGTCGTCGCGACACTCGAACGCCTCGCGCGAAAGATGCACGTCACTGTAAGCGCTGGTCGAATTTTGCCGACGTCAACCGACTCCCGTGGCAACTTAGATTATCTCGGTGACGCATCGGTTGTCGACCACTCGCAATGCCGACTTGATTTTGGTCTTGAACGACGGCAAAATTGTAGAAACCGGCACGTACAAAGACGTACGTGTTGAAAAAAATGCCTCGGCTCGCTTTGACCGTGTGGTAGCTCATGCAAAGCCCGGGGTCGTTCTTCGCCGAGATGGTGCACAAAACGGACGACTCAGCAGCGGGTGGACGCCCGGGTAGTCGGAACTCGTCGTTTGTGGGATTTGTCGTAGAAGATCTCGGCAACGTGCTCGACACCCATCGCGCGCTGAACGAATTCCAGCACAAGCTGAGCAACCGTTCGGTACGATCGTTTTTCATGCACGACTTTATGGGACGCGCAGGGCGAGAATGGCGCGATCATGAGTGCATGGCAAGTGCGCAAGCTGAGCTCGGGACGTCAAATGTCCCGTGGGGCGTCCCAGAACGGAAGCGTTCTGGCCAACTTGCCGTCTCGCAGCAGCCAAGACGACCAAGATCGCGACAGCTACCTCGTTTTATAAGCACGACTTTTCGGAATGTATACTTGCATGAATTTTCTCTGACGTAGCTGCTGCACCACCGAATGGTTGTCGAAATTTCGCAATGTGTTCACGGCGGACGGGGCCACCGCAGTCTGTGGTGGGCGTCGAGCGGTGGCGGCGCCATGAACCGATTCAGCACGGGCACGTTTTCTTGGATAACGCAGCTAGGAGATCGAGATCAGCCGAGGTTTTGCGCAGAATTTGGCGGCGTCTCGACGTGCACGCCGACGCCGTGGTGGATTGGAAAATGCGTCCATCCTACAGTTTGGTCGATTCGTCCAAGTGTGGCGCATGGGCGGGACCTGTCGTACACCGCTGTCGTCGTCGTTGATTGACGTGCGGTGGTGACGGGGTCGAGCCACGGCATCGAGTCGATGGAGCGCGATGTATCGATCAAGGCAGCGACGAAAGCAGTCCATTTGCATGCGCCCATTTTCGATCGGTCGCTTTCGCTCTGCGTGGTGAAACAGGTAGCATCCAATTGTGCCACTGCGCACGAGAGCCCAGGGCGGATGGCTTTACCCAGTGGCTTATGACCCATTTTGCAGTCGTAGAAACCATGCCTCGTTCTGCAATCGCACGTGCCATACGAACGAACGACTCGACGGTGGCCAGGTCGTTGGTTCGTTCGACTAAACCTGCATCCGCAGGCCGTGTGTGGTTTGTGCGTTCCATGGAATCGTGTCGGTGCATGCCATGGATCGCAGCGGTAGCTGACGCGCGCGGCTGCGTCTCGGTCGACGAGGGCGTGGGTGCCGATCGCACGTTTGATGCTACCAGGTCGTCGAAATTGGCTATAGCACACAATATCGGTCGTGGCCTGTCCAACGGGCGAGGCGGAGGACGTGCGCATGGCTCGAGGCTAGCACGGCAGAGTCGCCGAGGATGTACGATCGGCACGCAACGTCTGCGTGGTTTGTGGTGTGCTGCAGTCGTGGTGCTGCATGGCATGGCTTTGAGCGCATCGCTCCTCGGCCACAATATCATCATCATGCGCCCTGTGCTGTCCGTGAAAGGTTGCCTTTGATGTCGGCGGCATGTCCGTGCAATGAAGCACTGCGAGGCCACCGAGCTCGCAACCTGGATGTTCGTAGCGGTGGCGAGGGGACGTCGATCAGCCAGGGAGCGACTCGAGGTTGGAGAGGGTGCGTGCCGCTACCCTACCGGCAGCCCACGGACCACACCATGTGAACTGTCCACACAAAAACTTTCGTCGGTCGTTCAGCACACGTATAGAGCTCGATCTCGCCATTCCCCCAACACATCGTAGCTTCGGGCACATTCATTGCAGTCATGACGAGCAGCGGCGGGGACCCGTCCCGCATGTGGTGCCTCGAAGGCATCTCTCGCACGAGATAAGTCGCTGCGCAACCTCCCGAATGTTTCATGGACACAAGGCCGGCTCAACACACCACGTAACACAGCACCGTATGCGGTTCCCGCGGTGGCTGCATCGGCTCGGCGGCGGCGCTGGCGCCTCGTCATATCTCAGCACGAGAGAAACCAACTTGCGATACTATCTTTTGAAAATCTATTCATACATGATATTGCAATGGAAAAACGAATACACGTATGTATTTGCCAAGATTATATATGCATAATAGTTGATTCTTTGACATGTGACTTTACACGCCTACGTTGTGACACAATTGCCAGTTAGCACGCATGGAAAGCGGCGCGGTGGTCGCGGCCGCGGTAGTCGTTGCTACGCCAGCGCTAGCTTATGCACAGTCCGTGGGTGCCATGGCTACGACGGCTGCGGTGACGCCCCCATCGCCACCATCCAAGGTCGTGCCCATCTTGCTCGGTATCGGCATCGGTGCCGTCGTCGGCTTTTCCATCGTGGGTGCAATTCTCGTCGTGTCCAGGCGAAGGCAGCAGCGCGCAAAGATGAACTCTTCCATCGCACGCACGAGCGCGTCGTCGATTGAACCTGGTGTAGCAATGAGTTATCGCGGCATGACGTCGATGGCCAAACACTCGCGACGCCAACTGCCGGCTCATGGCGCAGTCGACGTGATTTCACTCGGCCATCGTTCCCGCGTCGACCCGCCGCCGCACTGCCACCCGCATCAAGACAAGCCATTCCGCTACGACATGGACATCTGCGCATCGCTGCAATCGAGCCACCCAACCATAGAAGGTGGCGACAACGACGTGCCGATGCTTGGCACGTGGGCGGACGACGAAGTGGATTCGACTGCATTGACCGACGAAGATGGCCACCACGGCGAACACGCTGCGGTGTACGGCGCCACGGCAGACGACGACATGCGGGGTTCCATGGTCGTGATCGAACCAAGCGACGTCATGTGCAATGGGTTTTACATGTAGGTCCCAACAGTATAGTGCGCGAAATAATTTTATGCGCACATGAAAATCTTGGTTTTGCGGAGAAGTCGTGACAATTGCTTTGATCTGGCCATGCCGTAGCACTTGGCGGAATACAGCATCTTGCCGTACAGTGCGCAAAATAATCATATGCGCTAATTTGAAATCTTCAGCAAATCGCGATTAATGTCAGATGAAAAATACACCAAGACTTCGGAGATAGTTTCCCATGAGGGGTATACGATCAAGTTAAATTGCTACAGTACGTACAATACAG